CCAGGTTGTTTATTCTGTTTATCTCTCACATGTTCTGCTGCCCTGCCCAGCTCTGTCCTGCAGGGCAGCGTGTGGGGCTCTGCCCTCAGTGGGATGTGACAAACATTAAATACCAGAAACTCCCTGGGCTGGATTTACAAGAACGTGCCAATATCTGTCACCTACGTTGGACAGTGTGTCCCCAGCCTGAACCAACAGAAAAATGCCAACACCACATTGAGACATGGAGGGCATGAAGAAGGAGAAAAAGGACAAGGCACACCCAGTTTCCTCCATCTTGTCCCCTTTGGACCCCTCATCTAGAATCCTAAAATTTTACTTTTGTGCCACACTTAATTAACACTTATATCAAACCCTCAGAGCTAGTAATTCATGCTGTAAGATTGAAAACTCTTTTCCATGGGCAGAGATCACAGCCAGTGTCTCTGGGGGCTCTGTCCAGGGGGGTTCCTGACCCCTGCCAGGGTCCCAGGGCAGCCAGAGGGAAGCTCTGGGTTCCCACAGTGAACCAGGTCCTGCTTTGTTCTGTTCCCTTTCCCACCCTCACAGCACCCTCGGGTGGGGTCAGGTGGGGACAGTGGCACCTGTGGGAGCAGCTCCAGGGTCAGGCAGCCGGTGGCACCTGTGGGAGCTTTAGGGCAGCTCCAGGGGCAGGCAGGAGCTGTCCCAGGCCCTTCACACCGCCCTGCACCCCCCAGAGCGGAGCAGAACCCCCCCACTGTCCCTTCCCCTGCAGGGCACGGGGTGGGCACCGTCCCGGGGGGCAGAGGTGGCAGCATCACCCCCTTGGACCGAGGCTGGAGCGTCTCTGTCCCCTGCACTGCCCCTCCTGACCCAGGGCAGTGCAAAGGGGACCCTGGGCTTTCCTCACTGACAGCCCAGAGCTCCCCCCTGGCCGTGCAGGGAGCTCCGGAGAGAAGGGAGCAAACAAAAACTCAATTTTATCACTCAAACCCTCTTCTGACTGCGCCGGTCTTCCCGACGAGGAGAAGGGAGAGATTAACCAGGAGCTGCAAGTCAGGGGTGGCTCCCTCTCATGGCTTGGAGGGACGGAGAGGAAAATCAATCAGGAGCCAGGAGGCTGCACTCTGATCCCCCCAAAAACCTGCACAGAGCACCCCGACCCTGCTCTGAATCTTGAGGGAGCCTAAAGAATCATGGAATGGCTTGGGTGGAAGGGACCTTAAAGATCATTGAATTCCATCCCCAGCCACAGGCAGGGACACCTTCCACCACCCCAGGTGGCTCCAAGCCTCCTCACACCCTTCCCTGAGAGGAATTTCACAAATTCCCCTGCTGCCAAACACCGCTTTTGTTGAGGATTGTCACTTCCAAGCTCTTGCCAAGAGCCTGATCTGGCCAGGGTATTTAATTCCAGTTTGTGATAAACATCTGGGCAGGCACACAGCATCCAGCTCCTCACAGTCCTCAGGAAAGCCTTCCATGCCAAAAAGACGGGCTGTTTATTCCAGTTCTGTCAGTTGGGCTGATAAAAGTGATTATTTCTCTCTCCCAGCCCTGCTTTCTCATTGATCCCACAGGCTGCTCTTCAAATGTCACTCAGCGAGCAGGGAGAAGGTATCCAATTATGGAAAGGGAAAAGATCAGTGTGATGACAAAGCACCAGGGCCAGTGGGCCATGAAACAAATGAGATCTGTCTGGTTCTGACACCCTCCAAGTCCAAGGAACCCAGAAGGAGGCATTTTGGGCCTCTTCCCTCCAAAAAAATTCAAACTGACCTGTGTTCGTAACATCTCTGAGGTTTGGTATTATATTTGTTCCAATATGAAGCCTTGAACCTGATGGAAATCTAATAATTGCTCAAAAGCACAGGTAAAGTCATGCAAACCTCACAAGCCAGTGAGACTTGGGGTGATGGAATTTATTTTTATGTCAGGCAAATTCCTTCCTTTTTTAGAGCCTGTGGTCACTTGTCCAACTTACTGAGGGCCACAGATGTGTTGTCAAAGACAAAAATCATCTCAAGCCCACCCGAAAAGGTGAGCAAAGATTGCCGGAGAGCAAATCAAGGAACAAAAATCAGCTTTGCCCTCCTTCCTCCAGCACAGCCTCTTGTCCAAAGCCCAGGCTGAGATTTCTTTGAACAGAGTACAACAAAGACAAAATACCGAGCTGGAGACGGGGCTGGCTGATCCCTGCAGCCTGGGCACAGAGCTCCAGAGTCCTGGAGCTGCCTCTGGAGAGGGATTGCAGAGCCAGGGCTGCCTTGGGTAAAAGCCTTGTTACAAAGCAGGGAACTCGCCTGTGCCTCTCTCAGAGCAGCAGTTTCCCACACATCCCCAAATCTGCTTCTGCTCCTGCCAGGACCCAGTGCTGAACATCTGTAGGATGAACATCCTTATGTTTATCAGGAGAGGGGACTTAATTCTTTAGGAATGCTTGGATTTGGTGTCAGAATGCTCAGGAACAGCCTAGCAAACTCACCTGGTCACTACCTGACACCTCGAGTGCTTCTTAGAGCTGTCACATCAGCTCTTACCAAAAAAAGGGAACAGGGAGCTGAGGATGAGGTGTAGTTCCCACAATTTCTCCTTTTCCTCCTGTTTTTTTCTTTCCCACTACTGCACTTCCTGCACATCCTTGCTTTCCCAGGAGCTTTTGGCCGTGTTTTCCCTGCAAGGTGGGAGCTGCTGGCCTGGGGCAGAGGGTGGGAATGGACATTGCACCCAGCTGGGCTCGCTGAGCCCCTGTGGGGCACAGCCCTGCTGGGGTGAGGTCTGTGAAAGCCTCGGGGCCACAGAGTGAACCCAGCAGGTCCCAGCTCTGCCTGGCTGTGTGTGTAGGGAGGGATGGCCCCGTGTGCCTTATTTATCTTACGGGCAGGGGAAGCTCCAGGTAATCAGCTCAGATGGTGAGCTCCTCCCAGGGTCCCTGCTCTGCCAGATGTCTGCAGTGGGAGGGGGGTGACTTCTGCATCTCCTGTTCCTTGTCTCTTCATTTTTAAGCCTCTGAAGTGTGTGGATGCAGAGGTGGAGTGTGGGGAGAGCAGGGAAGCCGCGGGTTCAGGGCAAGACAGACACTTCATAACTGCCTTTAATCTCGTTTCCTGATTCCAGTACCTCATCTGCCCCTCTGGTTTAAACCACCAAACTTCCTCCCTCCCCTATAAATATCCCCAGCACAGCCAGGGCATGGCATGGACACCCAGCAGGCTGTGGTGTGGGGCAGTGGGGCAAAGACAGCCAAAAGTGGGGAACCTGGCCCTGGCACCCCAGTACTGCAGGAAAAATGAGGCAGAATGATGAAAACGCATCAGAACCCAAGAGCTGATGAGTTTCACCTAAGATTCACCATTGATAAGTGTTTAATTGCTGATAAAGGCAGGAGTCTGGCACTCCTGTGCCATGGGAGGGCCACAGAGCTGCATCCACAGGGCCACCGACCTGCAGCTGCTGCTGCTGGCATTGGGGTAATCTGGGTGAAAAGAATTCTTTATTTTCTCCCTTTCTGTAGTACCGAGCCGTTTTAGAACCACAGCTTTCAGCTGAAACCTCTGAAAGCAGCCAGGGCCAGCAGAGTGAGATGGGTCTCTGGGAAAGCAGTGCTGCTTCAGAGGGATGGCAGAAATGAAACTCCAGAGGCAGCGTTTTATCTCCGGACAGGCTAAAAGGAAGTTTCCAGGATTCCTTAGCTCTTATTTAGCCAGTTTGTTTGTTTTGGAGGGGAGTGCTTGTGATAGTGTCGGGCTCTGAACACGTGCCTGGCTGCAGCGTGGCCAGCCACAGTTTCCAGTGGTCACTCCCTGCCTGGCCAGTGCTCCCAGCACAGTTAAGGGCTGTCTCTACCCTTGAGCAGCTCTGGGATTCCTGTGGCTGCTTCATTTGGATGCGCCCCACAACTGGGGAGCAGCAAGAGCACCGAGCTGGCGACTGGCAGGTTCGGGGACACGGGTGACATCCTGCCACGAGGTGCCACCAACGCCGGTGGGGTGCCAGGGGCTCCCCGAGTCCTCGGGGTGTTCCTGGCGCTGTGCGTCCTGCTGAGCACACGGGGGGCACGGGTGGGGTGGGGACACCGTGGGGGGACATCAGTGACGCGGGGAGAGCACTGCGGGCAGAAGGCGCAGGGACACGGCGGTGCCTGGAGCACATCCCGGGGCGGGGACGGGAGAACCCCACGGGGAAGGGGGAAGGGAGAACCCCGCGGGGAAGGGGGACGGGAGAACCCCGCGGGGAAGGGGGACGGGAGAACCCCGCAGGGAAGGGGGACGGGAGAACCCCGCGGGGAAGGGGGACGGGAGAACCCCACGGGGAAGGGGGAAGGGAGAACCCCACGGGGAAGGGGGACGGGAGGGCACCGCGGGGACGGGGAGTGGGGAGAGCCCCCGGTGAGCGCACCCCGGGGCAGGGAAGGGAGAGCACCGCGGGGACGGGGAACGGGCACGGAGCTGGGAGAGCCCCCGGCGAGTGCACCCCGGGGCAGGGGGACGGGAGGGCACCTCGGGGCAGGGGGAAGGGAGAGCACCGCGGGGAAGGGGAGCGGGCGGTGAGCGCACCCCGGGACGGGGACGGGAGAACCCCGCGGGGAAGGGGAGCCCGCAGTGAGCGCACCCCGGGGCAGGGAAGGGAGAACCCCACGGGGAAGGGGAGCCCCCGGTAAGCACACCTCGGGGCAGGGGGAAGGGAGAGCACCGCGGGGAAGGGGAGCGCGCACGGAGCGGGGCGAGCCCGCGGGGCGCGGGGATGCGGCCGGCGGGGCGGGGACACGCGTGGGGCAGGCGGGGGTGGCCGCGGGGTGCGGGGGGGCCGGGGTGCGGTGCCGGCTGCCATTGGCTGCGGCGGGCTGATGTCACGGGCTGCTGTCACTTAAAAAGCTCCGCGGCGCCTAACGGGCTGGGACACGGGCTGGGACACGGGCTGGGACGCGGCCGGGACGGGACGGGAGCGGAGCGGAGCGGCGCCGGGTGCCCCAGCGCAGCGGCCCCGCGCCTGCCCCGCACCTGTCCCGTATGCGCGGCTCCCGGAGCGGCGCCGCGGCTGCGGAGCGCTGAGCGGAGCCGAGCCCTCCCCGCCGCCCCGGGGCTGTCGCCGGGCCATGGCCGCGGCGGGGACGGAGCTGCCCGGCGGCAACGCCAGCGCCAACCAGAGCGCCGCCGACCCCACGGTGTCGCGGGACGTGTGGATGGTGGGCATGGGCATCCTGATGTCGGTGATCGTGCTGGCCATCGTCTTCGGCAACGTGCTGGTGATCACGGCCATCGCCCGCTTCCAGCGCCTGCAGACTGTCACCAACTACTTCATCACCTCGCTGGCCTGTGCTGACCTGGTCATGGGGCTGGCCGTGGTGCCCTTCGGCGCCTGCCACATCATCATGGAGATGTGGAAGTTTGGGAACTTCTGGTGCGAGTTCTGGACCTCTTTGGACGTGCTGTGCGTCACGGCCAGCATCGAGACCCTGTGCGTCATCGCCGTGGACCGGTACTTCGCCATCACGTCCCCGTTCAAGTACCAGAGCCTGCTGACCAAGGGCAAGGCGCGCGTGGTCATCCTGGTGGTGTGGGTGGTGTCGGGCCTGACCTCCTTCCTGCCCATCCAGATGCACTGGTACCGGGCAGACCACGAGGACGCCATCCGCTGCTACCAGAACGAGATGTGCTGCGACTTCTTCACCAACCAAGCCTACGCCATCGCCTCCTCCATCATCTCCTTCTACCTGCCCCTCGTCGTCATGGTCTTCGTGTACGCCAGGGTCTTCCAGGTGGCCAAGAAGCAGCTGCAGAAGATAGACAGGAGCGAGGGGAGGTTTCACACCCAGAACAAGGAGCAGGAGCAGAAAGGGGGAGCCGGGCACCGCCGCTCCTCCAAGTTCTTCTTGAAGGAGCACAAGGCCCTCAAAACCCTGGGCATCATCATGGGCACCTTCACGCTGTGCTGGCTGCCCTTCTTCATCGTCAACATCGTGCACGTCATCCAGGACAACATCATTCCCAAGTACCTGTACATCCTCTTGAACTGGCTGGGCTACGTCAACTCTGCCTTCAACCCCCTGATCTACTGCCGGAGCCCCGACTTCAGGTACGCCTTCCAGGAGCTGCTGTGCCTGCGCAGGTCCGCCCTCAAGATGTACGCCAACGGCTACTCCAACAGCAACGGCAGGAGCGACTACAACGAGGAGGACAACGGCTACCCCCTGGCCCCGGATAAAACCTGCGACTTGCTCTGCGAGGAGGGCTCCTTCCCTCGCCCCGAGGATTTTTTGCACGGCAAAGGTACTGTGCCCGGCGGGGAGGGTGCTGGGGGCTCGGGTGGGGGGTGCACAGAGGAGCCTTTCCAATGAAAATCAACTTCCTTTCGTAACGAGAGTGATTGTTTTTTAGAGAGCGCCTAAAACCTAACAGCTGCAAGAAACCCCAAACTCAAACTCTGCAAACTGGCCCCTGGCAGGGCGGAGGGGCTGCTGGCAGCCCCCCCTGGTTTGGGGCACGACCCGGGGGTCCCTTAGCGGGGTGGGGGACGCCAGGCTGTGCAGGATGCTTGTCCCCGGAGGGATTTCTGGCCGTGGCCGGGACTGAACTGGCCTGGCACTGAACTACCTCATGACCTTGTGGGAGCTGGGAGCGGGGCTGGACCCCCCTGCCCGGTGGGACCGCTCCCGGTCCGCTTGTCACATCCCCGCTGGTGGCTGTGGGAGCCCTCCAGGCCAGGAGGGCACCTGGGGCAGGGGTGGCAGGGTTGTCCAGCCCGGGGCACTTTGCGGAGATGGCAAAACCCCTGAATTTGATCTGCGACGAACCGGCGGGGAAGGGATGCAGGCAGCGGGGCAGGCTCGGGGCTGCCGGCGCTGGGACAGTTTGATCACCGCCCAAAAACTGCGAGTGCTCTGCGGGGTTTTGTTTTGCCGAGTGCCACAGGACTTTCTGCAGGGGAAAAAAAAAATATAAATAAACGGAATCGTTTGCCTAGAATGTGAGCCTGTGACTGTGGGACTCAGGAATGTGGCACTGGGAAGTCGGGTGACACGCGGCTACAATCACAGCCCAGCCAAAAGCTCGTAAAGCGCCCGGTTTGTTTAACTGCGAGGCTCAGATGACAGCGAGCCCGGGGAGGTGGGACGGGAGGAGGTTTGGATTTTCCGTGGCACCCTGGAAGCGCCGCTCCGGCCGCGGCACGGCTGCAGGTCGCTGGGGTTGGGTGTGGAAGGGGTTTGTCCCGTGTGCCAGGCTCTGCCAGGTGTCCCCGGGACAGGACAGGACAGGACAGGACAGGACAGGACAGGACAGGACAGGAGAGTCCCTGCCTGGAGGGGGGCAGCGATTTGGGCTGGGGGCGCACCCCGGTGCCGGAAGGGTGTGCAGTGCGGGGTTCTTTCAGGAATACTCGGGAAAAGGGCAGGAAAAGCTGCTCCCGGGATCTCTCGGGCCGTGGTGTCCCGGGGAATGCTCGGGCGTGCGGAGTCCCCGCATTTCCACGCGCTCTCCCCGCACCACGGTGATGTGATGTTGGTGTTGGTGTTGGTGTTGGTGTTGGTGTTGGTGTTGCTGTTGCTGTTGCTGCTGGTGTTGGTGGCGTTGTCGGCTCGCTCCGTGCTCAGTTTGGGGGTGTGGGGGTCTCTGGGTGCCCAGGGGACCTGGGTGGGTGGCGAGCGGCCAGCCCGGGGCTGAGTCCCGATGCAGCAGGAGGCAGAGCGGCTTTGGGGCAGCGCCGTGCCCCGTCCCGGAGGAGCCGGGGTGGGACGGGGGCGGAGCGGGTTTCTGGTTACCGACACCCCCGGCCGTGCCCGTGTGGCCTCGGCTGCTCTGAGGACTCGCCCCGAGCGCTGGTGCCCACAGGGCTGGAGGGGAATCCCCCCGGACGGGCAGGGAGCACGGGGGGTGTCAGCCTGGGGACAAACTGCTGGAGCTCTCCGGGTACAACGCGGGGCTCCGGGAATTCCTGCTGCTCCTTT